GATCCCCAGTTGGGTCGACGGATTCTCACTGCTGATGAGACCCAACCAGGTCGAAACAGTGCTTTTCTCTAGACACGACGAATTCCCTCTGAGAAATCGAATCAAATCCTCCAATACCTACACGATAGTAATAAATCGCCATCCATTTGGCTTATCAAATCGTTCGTGAAGCAAACACGGTTAGGTTTGACTGAATATCCGGTCACAGTTTTCGAAAAATACACCTTACACACCAGGTGACATGAAGTGTTTAAATAGACTAAATTCTGTCTTGTTGTTTTTCAAAAACAAAGGGTTAAAACAAGTCCCTGGAGCTCTAATGCAAATGCTGCACAGATGAAGCTCTGCAGGGTTTTCCCTGTGGGTTGCTTAGTCAGAGTACTGATTGCAGTTTCATAATGAANTGTCACTCGTGCAGAACTCCGGCTCCGACAGCTGTTCACCTTTGTGTTTGCCATCTTGATTAAGATTGGTAAATTCTCTTCAGTTCATCTGTTTCATAAGTCTTCAGCTAAAAGTTGATTTATCGGTAAAATTCAAAGAATAATATCTCGACTCTCGGACAAGATGTTTGCCGAGCTATTCTGAGGTTTACAAGGAAAGAAATTGTTCAAGAATCCTGAGGAAAACAATCCAACGGCTTTCGCCAAACGGTAGAACTTTGGTCTCTGAATGGTACGGAAATGGAGAGTAGAGTGGGATGACCTCTGTCAACAAGGAAGTGGATCGATCTTAAACTGCCTATTGTTTTGTGAATCCGAAGGTAGATGTGCACAAAAGAAAGAGAACTACATTTTTCATAGATGAAAAAACCAAATAATGACTGCCACCAGAATGACTTTGCATCCGTAGATTCTTGATATAGCACCAAACAATTCGTAAAAGGACCATTTGTATCGAAATCAAAAGCTATGATGAAAAATATAATGGAGAGAAATCAAAGTGGAAAATTTGGGAAGCGCAGTTTGGAGGAGTTCAGGCGATGAGTGAAGACCTCTTAGATCAAAGCTCTGACAGCTGTGTTCCAACTAAACTATAAACATATGTCTTCTTTCGGTCTTGATACGAACTATAAACAGTCCAAATGAATAAAGAATCCGCATTGAAGGGAAGTTTTATAGTTAAAAAAAACTGCGATCAATGGTTCTGCAGAAATTTCGGATATGCTAAAGAAATATTCCACCATTGTGTTTGATTAAATGACGAACTTTGCGCATGGATAAAAGTGCAAATAATATCGCCCTGAAAACAATCCCTAAAATACTTTTGCAGTAGAGCAAATAAGATACCCTGCATTATCATCGATAAATAGTTTTCACAAACTTAGTTGGAAGAGATGTGTGTCACATCATTTCACAGTCGCTACAGTGAATGCTGTGCTCGACAAGTCATTCCGACCATCGTTGGATTGCCACTTTTGTCAATGTATCGCGAAAACCAGAATACAACGCAAATAGTTCCACTTTAAAGAACTACCATTGAATGAAACAGATCAACTCAATGCCCAGTACATTTTGAACAGGATTGGCGTAGCAAAAACCCGGCAATCGAAGCACGTGCAATGACTTGTTCATGATATTGTGTGGTGATCTTAGCTTACAGGATGACGCAAACCTCGGGGAGACACGTTACAGTTTCTGGACAACTTTGATGAGTCAATCGTCTCAGATGACGCCAGAAAAGTGGCTACTCGTTACAGCTTCTGGACAACCAACCATAGGCCGATTGTGCCGACAAATCAGAAACCTTGCGGCACAGACAGAAACTGTAGGACGCCAGGAATACGAACATGCGATTGTTAGATACCTGGATAAATTAATAAACTTCTTTTGTACATGTTATTTAACCTTGATTTCTTCCAATGAACGAACTGCTACCTCTGTGGCCTCTTCCTTACATCTCGGTTACGTGCGATACCGTCGTGCAAGTACCAGTGTGATTCAGTGCTTACGTTGCGTCCGTGATTGCTAATACGTGATTCGTAATCCGTGGTCTATAAGCAGATCAATCATTACATATTGGTCATCAACCATGTGGCTCAAAGGAAAGTGTTTCAATTCCCAATACGATGGCTTGTGGTTCGGCTCTCGACAATGATAAGTTCAAACAAGGATACACCATTGTCTTGTGCTATTATTCGGGCATCACATGAAAATTTGTATCGTAACTGATTTTGTTTCCATTCGGCTCTACATGCAAATGAAACAAACATAGGGGTCCTGTCGAAACTCTACAGGGTAAAAGGTTGCTTTGAATGCAACCATGCAAGCAACTGTTGCAGTGCAATTCCATTTCATATCGAACAACTAAGGTGAGGAAGCTTTGAAGTGCTCTGTTATTTGTTTTGCTCGTTATATTTCGTGAAAATGCATCCATCAATAAAGTTTCTATGCAAGATGTTATCGAATGGAATGAATATGTGAATTTAATCTGCGCAATAATCTGACTTGAAGTGTGAAGTGTCTTGCAAGAGTAGCACCTCTAGGACTCTCGTGTCTTTTGGGGCAAGTTCCACATCCCACATCGTCGTTTACTCCACTTTCTTTGCGATAGAGCATACGGCATTCAAAGACAGCTACCCCCTAGTGAGAAGACGAGATCTTTTCCTGATTTAATGGATATCAAAGAACACCATCCAAGCGACAGGCCTGCATAGAGTTCTTGGTTGTTTTCTCATTTATAGAATAGCGATTGATTTGACGATAAGTTTGCATCGACCCACTGCTACCTCACCCTCTGCACTTGGTTATACAACGGTTAAAGTTGCGACTGTGAAAAGACGAAGGTGACACCAAGGAAATTTCGTGAACTCGACTCAGATAAAACTTAATTATGTGCTATTAGCCCGTTTATCGTGTTCTAACAGTTGGTAGAAGTGGAGCAGCAGGGAAGTGATCAGATGATTTGTCGTCGCCAACACTCCCACCACCACAAAAACAAACTTACTTTTTTTCATTCCTTCCGGTTTAGACTGTGCTTTGGAAATCAGCGGATTCTGGCTGACACTGATACACGTGATCGAAGCACTATCTTCCTCGTCGGTTTCTTTCGGGCCTTGTTTGTTGGAATTATCTAATCAGGGGCAAGGGAAATTAGACATCGATTTAATGAGGAAAAACTGGTTCATGGAGTGTTTGCAAATCAAGTGAAAGTCAAATTGAGCTTTAGTCACTTCAAGCGGTAAAACTTTTCAATGCAGTATAGTCAAGAAATTTGGATAAAAAGTGATTAAGAGGTGAAAACAACATTTAGATGCACTAAAAAAACGACCAGCGCTATAGGCGATTTTCAACTCCATAATGAGAGATGTCAGATCAGGGAATAGGCGGGCAAGATAAGGGAAGATGGTATTTCGACAGATGGTGGGATTGGCAAGAGGTCTTAATTTTGAGCCAGTGCGCAAGCGAGACTAACATTAATCATGATGGACATGCAAGCAGTGCATCTCGTTAGATAGTACGTGGGTGGTGAGTTGCGGACATGTGTGCTAGCCACATAATGGGATCAGCCAATCCATAAACTTCAGTAGGAGTGAATCTCAAGAGATTTGGACAAAACCTTTTTTGCTTAAGTCGGGGAAAAATACGTGGGTACAACTACATTTTTTCTATCAAACTCTAGCCAAAAATCCGCAAATGCTTGGCGTTGACCCACACACCGTCATCCTTAACCCACAATCCTTTGGGAAAGTTCGATAATTTGATTTGCTTGTAATAGAGCTTAAAAACCACCAAGATAGGCGCCAGTTTGTACAACCGTGAACCATGTACTTTCATTCGCCGGTTTAGGTTGCTATCCTTTGGTTACCACAATACATTGGTTTGATAATCTATTAGCACATTAAAAATGGTTCACTGAAGATACTGAAGTTATAGGAAAAGTGCCCGGTAGTTGGATGGTTCGAAGTGGCTCGCTTAAACTTTTTCCAGACAATAGCAACATTTGATAGCATAACAACTATAAACTGTGCCGTGTACGATCGCAACACCTCACTTGTTCACCAAGCTATGCGATATATTGCCTTTGTAAAATATGGAAGTTTGAAAGTTGGTTAACCTCAGAATATTCTGATACATCTTCATCTGACTCGCTTACAGCGGTAGGACTAGAATTTGTGTGGCTAGGCTGAGGAACTAAGGGTAGTGGCTACAGAATTGTGGGTTTTGGTTAAAGCTTGATGGGACAAGATGATGTGGGGAATGCAGTCTGTCATCGAAATCAAGCTTCCGTTTAGAGAAATGGCTAACTTTTTAGTCAGAACGTACAGGCGGACAATCTATGAACCCTAAAGTGAAAGTTTCCAATACGCTTGAACCAAAAAAGTTTGTGACGGATTAAATCCAAGATATCTGACAGGGCCAGCTTTGGGAATGTTCGCAATGTAAACATCAAGTTATGGTTAGTTAAAATGGATCTGATTAAGGGAGTCTGTTTCTAGGTTGACAAAACTTGGATGTGGTCAGTCTTGGAATTGCCGAAAAATGTCAGGGTCAGTCGAGGGATACCCATTTAATAATCAGCTTAATAGCACAGAATAAAATTCGGAGGGATGGGGAGGTTATTTATTCATGTACTGAGAAAAAGGAATGTCGACGAAAAAGGATCATGGAAACCCCGGTATTAAGTTCCAGAGAGAAGAAAGACTTGTCGCTAGGAGAAGGTTAATTGCGTCCCTGGTGACAAATGGTTGATGAAGACATTCTATCTTCCCGAGGTTCCCAGACAGGGAGCCTAACGGGACCTATATAACCTAGTCTCCTGGTTAGGGTTTCCTTTCCCTGGTGTCAGGTTTTAGGTTGACCACCATTGGCTTTATTCCAACCACTAACTGCCTCGGCGAACATCACTCTCCGTGGCGACCCATTTGGTGACATACGTGACACATGCCCCAACCAGCGTAATCTTTGGAGGTCGACTACTTGCTTCAGTGGGCAACCGCAGTTACCCAAAACTCTGCGCCTAACATTAGCATTGCTAGTCCGGTTGCCCCACCAGATTCGTGCAATACTGCATAGACAGCGGTGTTCAAACACCGACAGTCTATCTTTATCCTGTTTTCCTAATGGCCAGGTTTTTGCATCTTAAAGCACACTTGACTTGACTTGTTTGTGAATATGTATACGCGAACCGAAATGTGGTGGAATACGGAAAGCTTCAAATATGTAAACAATAGTATACTCATTCGCTTCGCAAGGGGTCATGAGGGTCTAAACGGATTGTTTTTTTCAGAATGAGCACAAGAACCTATGTGTTGATCAGGAAGTTTCACAATGAAACTACTTGCGAAACCGGGCGAACATGGTTGATGACTGCTGGAACACTGTGGATGATTTCACAATCATTCCTAATAAAGTAACCCGAGCTCAATCAAGTAAAATTGGGAAAACACAAGGTTATACGTCAGTACCAATCACACTTGGCGTGCTTTTAAATCTTCCGAGCTTTCAAATTTGAAGCGATAGATAGAAATCAGCCTTCTGATGTGGCTGTGGGTTGACTGGCGAATACATCACCGATTCCTGTTTTCAATAATCATAAACATGTATAACTTCTAATAACAAAACTGAGTCTTAACTGTCTAACAGAGGGAACAAACTAGCGGAAAGGGAGAATATTCTTCATTTCTCGACTCTTTATTGCTCACTGTGCATACTCAATTAGTACGTACTTGTAACCAACAGTAGTGGAATCACTTGAGCTACGGAGATATTGGGAGTTTTCCGCGGGTTCGAAAATACCGATTCCATACCACATGTCTTATCCAAGTCCCGTCGTGGACGTAACATGGGTAATTCTTCAACAAAAGTTTTCTCGTCCAGATCAGATTTTTCCTCAGTAACCTGAGTGTTTGCAAAACATAATTCGAAAGATTGTCCTTATTGAAATAAAGATAGTATTACCAGTGTGATGGAGCAGAACAATAATTATTTGTTAGATACGGCATAAATTGATTTTAAAAGTTCGTAAATTATTTGTAAATTTATTGAAATAATATTGATACAAAATCTAATCGTTTTAGTATCCTTATTGATCGCCCTAAACCGTGTTGCCCATGACATATGCATATATGCATATCACCAGACAAGCGGACTAGCTTATTGCCAGTGTTACAACAATCATAACACCAGCAGAAGGTGGGTGGATTGGGATAGAGAACGGAATGAAAAGAAGGTTAAACAGTTACGATGGAAAACAGTAGATAACGGGAATAATAACTAATTTATTGTGTTTCACCATACATACTATCTACTTGATTTTTACACACAAATGTTCGCATCCTCATTTCGATACTTCCGTCAACTTTATTCGTCCTTCGTTACACTGATTGTCCAAACAGGTGATCGAAAAACCGTAATCAAAATCCAGCGTAAGAAATCGTAATGATTGTTCGAACTAGGATCGTAAATGAAATAATAGTCTAGGGGAGTGTAGTTGTCTACACCAATTTCAGAGTCGTTCAGCTCCAGTAGTTTGCGGAATATATACTAGAAACACAGACAGATAAAAATTTAGATATACGTTCTCCAACGACAAAATTTAGTTGTCCGGAATGTTATACACGACGAAAGGAGTAAGAGATTATTGTTGATGTCATTATTCTTCTTATTGCCAATAAAACTTCTTGGGTAGAATTGGAAAAAAATTAATCCACCAGACTGAACGAGTCAAATC